TATTGTATATTACTTAAAATTCACCATTACAAGTAAATTCTGCATAAGTACAACTTATTAAAGCTTCATGCTTGAATTCGTGTAACTAATTGCAGATAAACATAATCAAATACAAGATAAAAAATATATTATTAAATCAAAAATAAGTTACTTCGTTATTAAACCTAAATTCAATTATAATAAAAAAATTGAATTAAAAAAATTATATAAAAAATAAGAACTTTTAAATAGTTAATTTGATATTAATATCGATATATTATTTTCAAAATTTTATAATATCTTCAATTTTATATTTTATTTAAAAGTAAAAACGTTATCGTTTTCTCAAAACCAAATAAAACCGTATTATAATATCGACATGAGACAAAATAAAACGAAACTATTAAAATCGAGTTGTATCTCGTTGTATTGTACGAGTACCATTCTAGTAATAATAATAAATCAATAGAAAATAATTAGTTTCATTAAAATGATAGATTTTTGGTTATATAGTTAAATTAATGTAGGAATAACCGAAAAAAGTTAACTTATTTAAAATTTATTTCAAGTAACGATTCAGTTAATTAGCGTACGAGAAAACAAAAATAATTATAAATGTTATTTAATTATCGTTATAAAATGGATTAAATGAAACTTGAGGTTTTTGATAAATATTTTTTTAATACCAAAAAAAGCAAGTAATCAAATAAATGACCAAAGTGTATTTTTTACGTTCAAAATAAAATATTTGTCAAAGTAGTGAAGAAGAGGGGGCTGAATGTCATTTCTGATAGTTAAGAGGCTGGCTTTCAAATCCCATAAAACTGGGGGGTTTGTTCAACAAAAATACATGTCTGTTTTGAAAGGTAGTGGCGGCAAGTAGCAAGTGGGTCGCGGTCGTTGATCGGTTATCTTAAAAGATAAAATTTCTAGTGACTTAGGACGGGTTTGGTTAGAAATATTAATGAGAAGAAGAAATCTTGATGATGACTTCAAATCGAGAAGCAGAATTAGGGGTATGTGAAACTTGAATGGTTCAAAACTCGAACCTAAAAAAAAGGTGTTTAAGTAAAATTCGAATGACCTGAAATCTGAAAATCTAAAACCCCACTTTTGGAGGAATATTTGGGTTCATGTTTAGGTTTGATTTTTGGTTTGCTTACCTGAACTCGTCCGAACCACCTGATGCATACCCTTAAGCAAAATACAGGTGAGAGAATGCGAGATATTGGGTCTCTCTCTCTCTCATCCTTAATCGCCTTATCCGAGAGATTTCACGGGTGTTGGATAGCCTCATCAGGCAGAAGGGAGGTTTTGTGCTGTGGGGGTTGTACCAAAAGAACTAAAAGATGTAATCTCGATTTATTAGGAGATATGTATAAGTTAACTATGCATTAGGCATAATAAATTTGTATTTAAGACTCTAACCTAAATGTTTTACAATATAGTATAGATTTAATGAAATTGAAAATAAAAGAAACTATTTAGTTTTATATAATATAATGAGCCATTTTACAAAAGCTAAATTTTCATTTCAAGTTAAAAGTGGGGGATTGAAAACCATTCCTCACCAAACATCTCCCAAGTGTTTGAATATTTTTTTTGAAAAAAATCGGTTTTTTAGGTCATAAGAATTTATTTAACACGTATCAAAATATTCAATTATTTGTTCAAAAAATGTTTAATAATTAAATCACTTAGGGGGTGTTTGGGATTGCTTATTTGAAACAACTTATACTTTTCTACAAAAATATTTATCAACTTATTATAAGTCAGAAGAGTTTTTAACTTCTTCAAAAACTCCTTATTACCGGTTTGGCACCGGTATGAGTTGTTTATCCAAACACTCAAAAGTGCTTATTACCGGTACCACATCGAAATAAGTCAATAAGTTGTTTTTATAAGCAATCCCAAACACCCTCTTAAAATATGAATACTTATTGAGTTTTTCTGAGTTCTTCCTTAAATACAAAAGTAATTTTTGGGTTTTCCATCGATTGATGATAGGTTTTTTTTATAGATTGTGTTTATTTTAAAGTATTTTTAAAAACCTCGGTAGTTTGTAGATTTAGCCTTTGATTTTTGGGGGGTATTTGGTGAGGTATTAATGGTAATCAATAATAATAATATTAAAAGGAGTTTTTTGGTTTTTTATAATATAATGCGTTCATTCTTTCAAAAGCTTAAAATTTCATTTATGGTTAAATTATTTTCATTCATTATTATTTTTGTTTTCATTCTTATTTTTATTACTTAACATGAACCAAACAGACCCTTAATTTTTGGTCCATAAATTTTGTAGTTATTAATGAATATCGTCTCTAAATTAAAAGAAAAACTTAAATTTGGTCCATTACATTTGTCATTTTCCAATAATTTTGATCCTTCTGTCGGACGGTTGTTAATTTTTTTTGGTTAAACCCAGTTAAATGAGAAATATTTTAGTTATTTTCATTATTTTATATTAAAATTAAAAACATGTTATATTTTAAATTTTTAATTGTAGAAACATAAGCAGATTCTAAAAGAAAAAGGGGGAAAATAGAAGGTGGTGGTTATTTTTTCATACAATTTAAAATAAAAAATATAATATGTTTTTTTAGAGTAATGTAATAAAATAGTGAAAATGACAAAAATACTACTACTTTAATTGCATTTAACGAAAATAATTAACGACCGTTAAACAAAAAGATTAAAACTATTGGAAATCGACAAACGTAAATGACCAAATTTAAGTTTTTAACGTCAGTTGATCGTTATTCATTGAAAATATTTTATCCATGAAATATGTACGAAATGATAATTCGATGGTGACTTGATATCATTGTTATGTTGTTCAAATATATGCATAATGTAAAAGATGAGGATGATGGTTATGTGACTTATGGCATGTTTGTTAGTAGCTTAATAAGGTTAATTGAACTTACAACTTATTCAGTCAGATATATATATAACTGTTTGGTAGTGGCTTAAGGATACATAAAATGTTTATTCGAAAGTTTCTAGGGAAAACTTTATGTAGAATACCAAGCTTTTTCGAACTTGTTTCTCCTAATTAAAGAACACGCTTCTTCGAATTCTAAAATCCCCCACCCCCCACCTCCAAAAAAAAAATTCTCAATTTATACTGACAGATTAATTCACACATACAGTTTTATCAATATACGACTTAATGAAAAAACAACCAAACAACCCCTTATAGTGAGTGATATAAGCATGAGATGTAACGTTTTATACACTTAAAAAATGTTTGTTTATTCACAAAAAGTAGTAGGATTACATACAAGGATGTACGTTTTTTCTACAATCGTTTTTTAACAAGTAATACATACGTAAAAATGGCATATATCGTCATTACGGAAACATGTTCAAGTATTTGGATTCCAAGTGAACCGTTAAATTCCAATTGTGAATGTGAATAACTATTTTAGGAAGTTTGTTTGTTTGTTAGTTTTAGAGCAAAAGTAAATATATAGTATGGACTACAATATGCAACTGAGTTAAATAAAAAGAAAATGCAGTAGATATGATTTTTCGACATCTATTGATGTAAGTTTACCACATCTGAATGCTTTTTTTCATGATTGCTAACAAACAAGTCATATTTATGGATTCATGAATTACTTGATATGCGTAAATTACATATGATGAATCAAGTTTGACATTGTTCGGGATTTCAACACATACATCATCTCAAGAAACATGTAGCGTTCGCCTCGAGTTGTAGAAGACTTGTTAAAATTAACCTACTTATTTTAGCATGAAGAACATTGAATACCTGAAATATTTTATATTCAGTAAAAAAATTGACAACTCACGACCATCGATAAATTTACATAACGGGTTTTACAAACCACCAATTGCTTGTGTTGTTTATTGTTTTAAAAAACTTATCTTTTCTTATTGTCCCACGATATAGCCTTGGGTCATCTTTGTCATATAAATTTTTGTTGGTCCCAAGGGGGTTAATAAGTTTTTAGGGTTTGTAAAAGGCGGGGGATGAATACAAACACAAATTTTTTACTTTTTAAACTCTTTATTGATTATACACAGAATCAATACATGAATTTACAGATTGTTTACGGAAGAAGATAATGCAGAAAACTTAATCTAAAACAATCTCAATTCACTAACAGAGAAAACACTATGAATCTCTAAGAACAAAGTATATAGAAATCACACAGACACTCGTGCACACATAATATACTTAAAAAGTTGAAGGTGTGTGGCACTGAGAATATAGGTCTTATTAGGTATCTATACTAGGAGCAATTAATGCACGTTGTTTGTACATTTCACGTTAGGTTTGCTGGCTTTGTTTGTAGTTGAGCTGGGTAGGATTGTCCGCATATGAACAGTGTACCAGGATAGTGGCCATGCATGAAAAGAGACAATAAAGCACAATCATACTGTACGTTTGTCACTTAGCTACATGTTTTTGACTTTTGACAAGAGAGGATAAGACAAAGACTTGATCTACAAGATTCTGGTTCAACTACAGGGATAACGATTAAGCTTTGTTTAGTGCTCGTTGAGTCTTCTCGCTTTGATCAATGCTCACTTCTTCATATTGGTAGATCTATCGAGTAAATTACACAAGAATAATAAATTTCAACACTAGATTTTTTATTCTTCCCTACTATTCTTCATAAAAATGAGTAATTTACATTTTAAATAAGTTCAATCTTCAAGTAAATCAACAGCTGATTGACTTATTCCGGTGTGACACCGGTAATAAACACCGATGCCAAACCTACCAATAAGAAGTTTTGAAAAAGTTAAACCCTTCTTACTTACAATAAATTAATAAGTAATTTTATAAAAATATATAAGTTGTTTCAAATAAATAATCCTAATCACCTTTTAAGTTAAAAAAATGTTTTACATGAATTATGAGTATTTGTTTTTATATTTGAATTTAATTTTTAACTTTTATTTGTGGAAGCCTCTAAAATGTTTCGAATGGGCACCAATGAGTTGTAAAATAATGGATTCTGCCAGACTGGCCGTTATCTAACGAGCATCTGCTGGCGATTCCAAGATGCTTACAAAAAAACCACGCCATTGATCCATTCATCGCCACCAGATTTATTTGAAAATAATCAAAGAGACTCTTCTCGTGCATCACTCCCACACAACTACTGAGACACCAGCCACAGCTTTCTTTCATCGAAATAAAGCAGGTTGGTTTTAGATACAATCGTTTCTTTCCAACACCCATTACAGCCATTTATAGATCTATTTTGCTCAAATCGTTTGGTTTAAGGTCAGTATTTTGTTTGTTGTTTGGATCGGGTTCTGTTTCTTGTTCTTGGGATTTCAATTTTGTTTTATTTCTGGGTGTTGTTTATGTGTTGATTTGTAGTTTTTAGGGCTTTTTTGAGTCGACATTGTGAATTTCTTATGCGTATTTGTTCGTTTGTTCTAGTTTTGTTGGTGTTAATGAATGATTCTTGTTTATATCTTCTTTTTCCTCTTTTGATTTTGACGGGCGGAAAACGAAGAATTCCGTTAAAAGTAATTTTGCCATTGATGCTTATGTTCTTTACTAATCTGTCTTTTCTAGTGTCTAAGTGTGCGAAATGTTAAACAATTTTCTGTTTGAATTCCCAATGTTTTTGGCGTTGTGTCAACGTGTTGATTTTGGGTTTTAGGGCTTTTTTGGGATTGCCATTGTCGGATTTCTGATTCGTTTTTGTTCATGTCTTCCAACTGCATGGGGGTAAATGGATAAACTCTGATTTATTTGTATTTTAATCTTTTATTCTTTTGGAATTTGTTTATAGCAATTTTAAAGTTGGAGATCTCAAGTTACCTATGTTTATCGGTCAACTCTTCTTAAATTTATGAAACATTGCACACTTTGTTTTTTTATTTCTGTTGAATTCTGGTGTTGTCAATGACAAAAGTAAATGGAACCCTATTCTCAAATATTCAAGGAAAATGCTGCCTTTAAAAGACTTCCCAATGCTGATTAATTTGGAGGACCAAAGTGTAGGTTAAATTTGGGGCATCTTAATCTAAACAAAAAATGCAGGGGAACTTTGACGTTCTCAGATTCAAGATAGGGGCTTTATGTTCTAATAATGCATTCAAATTTGAATTTGTCAAAAACATGACCACATCGCCATCACACCGAAGCCCAAACAACATAAATCATTTGGTAACCAGTTGAAGGAGTGTTGGGTCCGCCAAGTTGTCACTTGTATCTTTGCGATTTGGGTTGTAACGTAGAAAATATTTGTTGAGTTTGTGGTGGCTATTTGGTTCCCCTCCATCCCCCAAAAAAAGGGTGCATGTGTTATCATCTCTGAATTAAATTATTTTCTTAAATTACTTTTTGTGTTGTTTTTTTTTGCTTTCCTATAAACTCTAGTTGGTCTTTGGATGTCATTTGTTGTTTGGCTTGTGAATTACTGAATCTGACTCCTTTTACTTCTAATGTTTTTAGGTTTCGAGATGGTAGCACAAGAATTCACTGTGGATTTAGACAAGCCTCTTGTCTTCCAGGTGAATTTTTACTGTAATTTCTTTCTGGTTCTATAGTCTTCATATAGGTTTCGAACCCAGCTCACGTACCGCTTTAATGGGCAAACAGCCTAACCCTTGGAACATACTACGCATGTTGCTTTCTACCACATCGTTTAAAATGAACTTTTACCATAACATTCCTCTAATTTGGAAACAGTATGGAATTGATTCAATTATGGAATCATGAATAGCCTTCGGGTTGTATTTAGTCTTTCCAAGTTAGTTTGTATGCACTTGTCAGTTGTGATGCTTGGAAAACAAAGAAATAAACCAAAAGGGTCATTGGCCCAGCGGTATCCGGGTTAAAGGTAAATCTTAGCCTCCCTGGAAGTCAAGGGTTCAAATCTCAACAAAGATGATGAGTGTGCTTGAGTATTTGCGGTATATAAATAAATTATACTTTAAAAAAACAAAGAAGTAATTTCCAAGGATTATTGGCTCTAGGAGTGAGGTGGCATGCTAAAATTGTAGTGCAAGACCTAAGTTCATATACCTCCATTCTCCATTTTCTAGCTCCTGTGGGTTCTCATAAAAGTTGAAATGTTAAATGCGTAGTACTCTAGAACTAGTTTTCTTCTTGATTTATTACTTGTCCTTATGAACCAACGGAGTTTTTGAAGAATCAAGTTGGGATTTTCTATCACCTGTCCATGGGACACACGATTTACCACTCCCATGATGGCTGTGGGACCGGTATGGTGGGGGTGCTCCTGAGGATGACGTCAATACCCTTTTGCAGAAAATTGCAACATCATTTTTACCTATTTGGCCAAGTTAAAGTTATCTATTTAATCATCATCATCGTCATTATATATAAATTCTTTGTGTTAATATGGTTCACAAATAAATTCATTGTCTTGAATCTTGATCTGGTCTACAAAACTCTTTTATTCTGTTGAAGGACATCTCTGATATTTGAAAATTTCTCAAAGCTTGCAACTTGCATAGTGCTTTTGTTCCTTTTACTTCTTCAGTTTCTAATTGTAAAAATATTTGAATCTACAGGTTGGTCATCTTGGAGAATCTTATCAAGAATGGGTTCACCAACCTATTGTTAGCAAGGAAGGCCCTCGGTTCTTTAAAAGTGACTTCTGGGAGGTATGCATTCCTTTTTTATGTGTTAAACCAGCCAAAGGCATTCAGTTCACATATTTATCTATAAACATTATTGCTAAATACTCATCCATCTCAAATTAAATGTGTAGTATGACTTGACACATAATTTGAGTAGTAGCTAAAATGTCCCGCAATTAATGACAAAATAGTGTAAACTTGTGGATCAAACTCGTTGACACCAATATTTTGTAATTATTATAATGGGTTAATATGTACTTTAGAATAAAGCCTTCTCCAAAAAGGAAATGTTGCATTTATTTTGGTGATACTGATTTGTTCTTATATGGTTCAGTTTCTTACCCGCAATGAGTGGTATGTAATTCCGTCTATTTGGCTCCCCGTTGTATGTTGGTATACCTCCAAGTCATTCAAGATGGGTCATACACTTCCTCAGATAGCAATAATACTCGTTATGGGTATTTTTGTTTGGTCACTCCTGGAGTACACTCTGCATCGTTTCCTTTTTCACATCAAAACAAAGAGTTACTGGTATGTTTTTATTTCTCTCACATGCGCGCACACACTATCAGCATGGCTGCAGTTTCTATGATTTTTATTTACCTGATTTTGTTAATTATTTTAGGGGGAACACCCTTCATTATCTTCTTCATGGTTGTCATCACAAACATCCTCAGGATGGATTACGTCTTGTTTTCCCTCCTACTGCAACAGCAATTCTACTGGTGCCCGTATGTTTCCTCAGACTTTTTCCCCTTCCAATATTTTATGATTCAAAATATAATAATAGGGAGTCTAGTTGGTCGTGCAATCGGAATACCTGGATTTGGACACGACACATATATTGCCTAGTGAATTACTGGAGTTGAATCAATGGGAGGGTGGCAAAAAAATCATGTTTTCAGGTGTGATTTGAAGGGGATTTTGAGAATTGCACCCAGAGGTAGGGTCTGCGTGTTAAGTAAAAACCAAACTAAACAAACCCAATATATTCCAAACAGAGGTTAGGGTCTTTTTGATTTCTGGGGGGGGGGGGGAAGGATGTATGAAATGGTAGATTAGCCCCAGTCTACCTCAAGGAGTAGAGGGCTGTTTCTATAAAAAGCGACCAACTGTTTCTTTTATGAAGAATGATCACCTTCATGTTAGCCAGCACATGTTCATATACGACCTTATTAGGAGTGGCGATGCTAATGAAATTGTTTCGATCTTCATTCCGATATCTAAAATACCCCTTGTTAGTGTTTTTTTAACGATTACTAATAGTAAAAGAGTACTAATTTTGGATTTAACTTGGACACTTACTAATTGGATTGCATGATTGGCAGTTCTGGCACTTCGTAAAACTGATATCGACCCCTACCGTTGCTCCTGCTTTGTTTGGAGGGGGATTGCTGGGTTACGTGATGTATGATGTCACCCATTACTACCTGCACCATGGCCAACCAAGAAACCAAGTTCCTAAAAATCTCAAGGTAAATTATCCTGTCCCTTTCTACCCAAATGAGATGCATGCGTAAACCTCTAATATTTCTTCAAAATTTCTTAAGTAGACAATGGATCTTTTAATTGATATAATTTCTATTTTGAAATGTTCCATGTAAATAATATCTTATCTTTTCAAATTCCAAAACCAAACCAAATCAAACGAATCCGGTATATCCCACTCAAAAGTAGGGTATGAGAGATGAGATGTATCAGACCTGTCTTTTTTGCCCAAAGGGGTAGAGCAGCTGTTTTCCTAAAGTCGTGAATTGCAACAAATCGATTGTTTTGACACATTTTTGGACCAAACCCCTATCTCACCATCTTGAAATCGACGATTTTGGTTTGATTCTACTCGATCTTGGACTTACAATTGGTTTTTGAATGTGGGTTGCGCAGAAGTACCATTTAAATCATCATTTTCGAATTCAAAACAAAGGATTTGGCATAACGTCGTCTTTTTGGGACAAGGTGTTTGGAACATATCCTGAGTCGAAATCAGTTGAGAAAGAAAAGATGATGCAGCAGTGATGAATGAATGAAAAGTTGTATGTTTAGGTGAAGATAGCAGAGCATTTTGAGCATGTTAGCAAGCATTGTTTTGAATGTTGGGTGAGGGTGTATTTTTAGCCAAGCTTTTGATGATATTTATGAAATTATTTATACAGTTATGTTTTTTTGTATTGCCCATGCCATGAAACTAGTTGCTGCTGGGCTGTTTAGAAGGCAAAAGCTACTAATAAAACACACTCCATGTTGCTGCAAATGAAGAGGGAAGAAAAAGGACGCCTTTAGTGTAGTGTAGCATGATGTGGGGTTCTTGAACTCGAGATCGATAAGTTGTGTTTTGTTTTGCCCGTTTTTAAGTATCGATCGTCGTCTTTGTCTTGATCCTTTGATGGGTTCTATTTTTCTTGGGATGAAGATGAGTATTGATCTTGAATGGAAGTAGGGTTTTGTTTTTTTTTTTTTTTTTTTCCATTTGATTAAAATGTTTCTCTGATTGCGTTGATTTGTCTTAAATTCTTTGAAGGTTCTTTTACAACGTATATATGCTAGAGATGCGTATGGGTTGGTTTGAAAAAAGTGTGGTCCAGTCAAGTTGTGATCAACAAGGCCCGATCTAGCAGATAAAGACTAAATTAGGACCGATGATGGTCTGTCTTTAGTTTGAACTTTATCTAGTACAAAGAAGACGGGTCTATTCTTAGGTCCAACTAAAAGATTTTTGGTTCAAAAAAGGATCGATGGTTTGGATTAATGATGTCATGACATGAAGCAGTTGTTGCGCTCATCCTGACATTAAGATACAAGCTGGTAGTCAGTCAACTTGAAGTTTTGTGAGTTAATGATAATTGTTAAGTAGTTAACAAACATTTTCATAAAAAGATATGAAATCCAAGATATATTTTCATAAAACACACAGTCCAAACGTTTTCATGTGAAAAAAATAGTCGTATAATCTGAACTCTGTAACAATTATGCAAAAACGTATTCATGTGAAAAAAATAGTCATGTAATCTGAACTCTGTAAACAGTTATGCAAAAATGTATTCATGTGAAAAAAATAGTCATGTAATCTGAACTCTGTAAACAGTTATGCAAAAATAGCCTTGGGACACGCAAAAATAGGTTTAGATGGATATAATAAAAGAGCTGAATTGGGATTGAGCAAATTGAACAAGGACCAACCATTTTTAAATAAGACGATTCTTGAACCGATTATCTCGTACAATGTCATAACATAACCGTTTTTTCTTTAAAAAAAAATGAAAACACATTGTTTTAAATTTATATCTTTCAAATTAAATTCGTTCAAATTTTGGTTACGGAATTTGTATAGTTTTCAGTTTCGATCTGGTTTCATTCGTCCAGTTCCAACCTGATCCATAGTCGATGACAACCGTCATATTCGAGCCAAAGAGTTTGGAGCGTATAACTGCAAAATAGAAAGTAGTTTTATATTGTTTTGTTTTTGGTGGTTACACACTTTCAAATTATTATGTAGGCCCCATCCAAACCAAATGAAGTCTCCAATAAATAGTTCGGATTATTCAGTTTTGGTTATTTTCGTACGTTTTAATCAAACTGAATGAAAAACGAATAAGTATAAGATAAATGTTCTTTTATATTTTATATTTTATATTTTACATTTTTTTTAAAATATTAGTAATATCTAGACTTCTTTTTCCTACCTAAGTTCCGAGATTTTTAAAATATTAATTGTATTTATACATAAATTTAAAATTTAAGGTTTATTTGGTTTGAGGGAATGGTTTTATGAATAAAAGGATTTGAAATGTTTGATGTATTTGGTTTTTAGAATTTGGAGTGTTTTTTTATAAATAATTTTAAAAATTATAAATGAGAGTAAAATACAAATTTGGTCTATGTGGTTTTTTGAAAGTAACATTTTTCGTACCTGTAGTTTTGAAATTACAGGTTCCTCAACGTAGTTTGTAAAAAGAAACGGATTTGGTCCCTTCCTCTAACGGGCATTAAAAGAACCCGTTAAGTCAGGGGTATTTAAGTCTTTTAACATTTTTATCTAATTTTTCTATTTTAAATAAATAAATATGCAAATTAAAGAGACCAAAAATGTAACTTGCTCTAATATCAACATCGAGACATGACAACTCTAGGGTTTTTGTTATTTCACCGGCCTCTCTTCTTCGGCACCGGTCAACCCTCCTTCAACTTCGATGCTTACTTATTTCACCCACAACACCTCCATCTATGGTATCTTTTTGTTTTGATGAAGCTCAAGCGAAGTCGGTCTCTTCTTGGTTGTATCTATCAATAGCAAAGAAATGGTTATCTTTATCGACCAAGATATGGTGGATATTGATAGCCAGTATTCACACCGATTCTTCATTTGGTGGGTTAAGGCTTCGATTTCTTTAGTATTTCTTCATTTGGGACCTTGGGGGAAGTCTATCGATGTCATTATGATAGATCCAAGATTTTTCTAAAACATAAATGGTGAAAGAGAAACTGTAGTAGGTTGGGATTACATTAGAGGAGAATGATCAGGCGATTGAAACCACTGAAACAGTAGAGTAGGGGATGATCGATTTTCCTAAGATGAGGATTTATATGCGCCACTTGAGACAATCACCGACATCAGTAGTGGTGTGGCGTCTTGTGTGAAGAAGAGCGGGAGGGGAATTTACTTAATATATAATTAATAATTAATATAATATTGATTAATATTTATTTTTTAAAGAAAAATGGAAGAATTGTGCAAAAAGACTAAAACACCTAGATTTAACGAGCTTGTTTAATGACTGTTAGAGGGAGGGACTAAATTTGATCTTTTTTGAAAACCATGATAACCAAACTGTAATCTCAAAATTGCAGGGACGAAAATCACATAGACCAAATTTGTATTTTTGAAAAGTCCAGATTTCATAYGAATCTTGAAGTAATCTTCATCAAATCTCAAGAACAAAGATGAATACAATATAGATTGGAGAGAGAGAATTACTTTGTTGTCAAATCACCTCTTTTTGATTAATGATGTAATCAATGTGTAATTACAATTACAAAGDAAAGACTATTTATACTAAGGAAAATAAAGCTAAACTAATTACAATAAAGCTAAGTAAAATGAAGAAACTTGAATACAACATTTTAGCTCAAATCTTGAACCCAACATTCTCCCCCTTTGGATTCAAGTTTGGACTCTTGTAAATTTAGTTTTGCGCAGTCCAAGAATCTTCTCAAACCTTCTCAGAGCATTTCGGTATTGAATTTTTTCTTCGAGCAGATTAATAGCGTTGACGAGCAGATATCTTTCTTTGGCATTCATTCGCTCGGATTCCACAGCCTTTTCATTACTCATCAGCTTTGAGTCTAATGCCCTCTTCACCAACCTGATAGTACCATCAGAGTATTTACTTAGTTCACTGAATCTCATAAACTTCTTCTTTTGGAGTTGAGCAAAATAAGTAACTCCGAACTCAGGATTTTCAAGAACCATGTATACTTGGTAACCATCAATGTCTTCAAGCTCTTGATTAGGTCTTTTGAGATTGATAATTTTHTVDHTATCCTCAAGACCCATTTGAACATCGATAACCATAGACAGCTTGACTTGACTTCTGATGGATCTTTTGATTGCCTCTAGTGCTACAAGTTCTCCTTCTTTTCTGATCTGCATATTTTTGAGTTCGAAATGCAAATACTCCAAATCATCTAAGTACATGTTAGAGAAATCAGCTTCACTAAATCTCCAAATTTGGCCATCCTGTCTTGTGACAGTAAAAACAGGATACCAAATTTTACGGAGTCTCTGAGAATCTATCTGTTTTATTGAGACAATCCTGTGCTTGGTACGTACTTGACTGATTGGCTGGCATTTWGACTTCAGCAAATGTCTATACTATATTCTGAATTCCTTAGGCTTTTTGTTTATTCCCAAAACTCTGTCACCACTTATAAGCTTCCTGTGACGAATGAAAATACCAAAATAGATATCTTCAAGGTACGGCTCTCGGATTCGATCTCGATCATAACCAAAATAATTTGCTCTGATATGGAATGAAATGTAATTCTTTGTAAAAATCTCTGTAGGATCAACAGTTGGCTTTGGAGTACTCGATTCTGGCACAGTAGGTAGATCAGCAGTTAAAAATTCTGGAGTAAACTGTGGATCACCTTGAATAGGAAACTCTGAATCTTCTTCTTCAATATCATCTTCAAAATCAAAGTATAATCCAGTAGTTTCATCAACATTCTCCACATCTTCACCAAAATCCTGCTCTCCACCCAAAGAAGATGTAAATATACTKTTGAAACCTACATTGGCTGACAAGTCCATAAGCAGCCTTGTTTCTACAGTGGAGTCCGCCGGTTTTTCAACCATTGGCTCGATCGTTGGACTTGTCATCACTTCTTCATCTATAAGCACAATAGCCTCATTTGTTCTTTCCCTTGCAGTCTCCGGAGCAGAACATTCAACGTTTTCATCTTGAGGAATTGATTCTTCACCCATTCTTGCACTTTGATGAGATGTCTCAGCCAATCTCTGCCTTTTCTTCTCCCCCTCATGACTATCAGAATCATCCTGATCGTCATGCCTCCGTTTAAGAGATTCGGCTTGAGACTTGCAAGATTCTTCAAGTATAGACACTCTTTCAGCAAGAACATCTATTGAACGTTTTATATCTTGGGAATTAGAAGTAAT